TAATTACTAAAGTACCATTTAAATTAAATAATCTATAGCTAAGACTGAGGAGGGTTTTGATCTTTTTATTATGATTTTTTCATTTGATATTGTGTGGGATCATAGGTGACACGACTAAAAGATTGATGTTTTCTTCCAAATGCAGGAGTGTCAAAATAATAAATAACACGGCAAAACCAGGATCAAACCATAGGGAGGTTAATTGTATAAATTATAGATAACAATAATACAACAATAATAATAACAACAATAGTAACAACAACAATAACAATAATAATAATAATAATAATAATAATAATAATAATAAAGAAAATGAAGAAGAAGAAGTTGATGAGAATTTTGAGATTGAAGATTAACGTAAGGATTAAACAATGATAACAACAAATATCAAGGTTAGAGGATCCACTAATGGTATGTCAAATAAGTATAGTATAAACTCTTATTATTCAATTGGAAACCACACATAAAGGAGGTTCCAATCAGATTATAAATTGTTAACATGATTACATTAGCTATCTTATTCGAATAATATTAATACTTATAAATAGTATTAGACATTCATAATTATAACTTATGTTAACAATAAATCAAGTTCCTTTCATAACTCAGGTGTCGGTTATACCATACAATATGGGCTGTGAAAGTGTCAAGCATTTGTTATACCATGTGTTATACAAAGAGAGAAAGCAAAAGAATGATCTTGATATGAAGAATAAGATGCCTAAATGCATGACAAATGCCTTCTTTTGTAGGCCAAATTAAAAACTATTAATTTGATGACTAATTAATGAGTGGGTGGCCAACTCTTTTCTAAGTTTGGTCATCCCTTTGTCCTTTCAATTTCAGTTCTTAAACTCATCAATCAATCCTTTCATTTATATGATAGGCCTGCATTTAAAATGAACATTTACCACAAATTAAAGGTATCTTATATTATTAGATATGTTATTATAAAACATGCTTTAGTTAAGGAGTTATTGATACTTTAAGTGCAAAATGATGATATAAAACCTTAACAAAAATACACTTTTAAGTACTAATCAATAGGCACTTAGGTATTTGCATAAACTAACTTAAAAGATAGATGGGGAAGAGAGAGAAAGAAAGAAACTGCTAGCATGTGCATTGCATTCACTAACGTATGAGAGATGTCTGTTCTTTTTTAACAGCAAGTGTTGTGCCTTCCAATGGTAGAACACTTCATTTTAGGGTGGCGCTCAATGCGTCTTATCGTTTGTTTCATTATGATGTGGCATGTAGTTGTCTTGTAAATTATGGAATTACCATAAAAATTTTTCTTTTGCCCCTCTTTTCTCTCTCTTTAACCTTGAAAAAACTAGAAAAGTGTTATTTTTTAGTTTTATCACATTCTTTCTTCATTATTTTAATTGTATCAATTTTGATTCATTTGTTTTTCAATTCTATCCTTTGACTTTTGATTTTTATATCAAATTTATCCTTTTATTTTATGATATTTCAAATTTGACCCTTAATGTTTTGATTTTTAATTTTGATTCTTAGCCCTTTTATCAAATTTTAATTAGTTTTCAATTTTATCCTTGGATCTATGATCTTCTTTTTAATTTTTTTCACTTTTGGTCCTTTTTCTCTTGATTTTGATTTTTATTTTGGATTCTTTTATGAATTTAATTTTTCTTTTCAATTTTTCCCTTCAATTCAAAATTTGATGACATTTTAGGTTTGGCCCTCAATGTTTTCATTTCTAATTTTGATTCTTAGCTTTTTATCAAATTTTAATTTGTTTTCAATTTCATTCTTAGATCCATAAGCTTTATTTTTTTTAATTTGATCCTTATTCTTTTGATTTTGATTTTTTGTTTTGGATTCATTTGTTTATTTGATCTTTTTTTTTCTTTCAATTTTTCTCTTCAATTCAAAATTTTAGGTTGTCCTCTCATTGTTTTCTTCAAATGAGTTCTTTATTCTCTTAATTACTAGTTTTTTATCCTTGAATTTTTTATTATTTAATTATTCACTATTTGATTTATTAGGATTTGAGTTTCTTTTTTTTTATTATTGTTTTATGCCCAACCTAGCAGTCAATCCGAGATAATTATCGAGTCACGGGTCGAGTGGGTTGACTTGAACTAATCCAAGTCAACCAAATCTTTTTAATTTATAAATAAAATAGAAATGATATAATTTTGGATAAAAAAATTATTAAGGAAACGCGTCAAGGAGTTTTGACCCTATTTTTACTAGATTTGCCCTTATTTAACCCGAGTTTTTTTTTATCGTTTTATACAAGATCAATTCTCCCTCAATTTAGTTTGAAACCCGGCTCGTGTAAGCCCTCGATCATAGGTTAACATTTTAGGTCAAGTCAAGTTTTAAAATAATAGTTTTCCAGATGCATTACTTTCAATTTAGTTATCAGTTAGGGTCATGAGTTTGAAAAGTTAATAGAAATTTATATCAATTTTTCCTCCGATTACATCATTCAAAGTTATTTATTTTGAAAATAAACTTCGTTATTTTCTTCACTTTCCTTTCAATCATGTTATTTGTTTTTGATCTAGATATGAGGCTTGGTTGGTGGTCTAGGTTTTATTTAGATCATTTTTTTATCATGTTTGATTTTTACTTCAAAATTTGATTTTCTAAAAAATAAACTTTGTTTTTTTTTTAATTGGATTATCTTGTTCGTATGATATTACTAATGAGCTTTGTTAGCTTCACCTTGTTTTAGTGGTTCTTTGTTTTTTTAGATTTTTTTATTGATTTTTTTTATTTTTTATTTTAATATTTTGATTGTTGATAATTATTTTTTTAATTTTATTTTTATAATATTACACTAATAACATTTGGGCATTATTTTTTTACACTGCAAAAAAATTAGCTCACTTATAATGAAGTACCAGCCATCTAGTAAATGGGGCATTCCCATCCATGTTCGTTTGTTTATTAAGGGAAAAATGCCCTCCATACTTGCTCGTATTGGATTGGGTTTCGTAATATACCTATCGAAACGAGTAATTTTGTCATCCTTAATCTTGTAAAAAATGACTTTTAATATGTCAAACTGTTGTTTTCAGTCATGCTAGACACATATCCCGCTTCCAATATGACACGTCATTAATTTAAAATTTTCAAGAACAAAAGTAAAAAGAAATGAAAATATTAAAATCAAATTGAGAATAATTAGAAAGATTTAATTTATTGGTTTTGTATAGGGCAATATATAATAATAATAAAAAAAAAAATTACAAATATAACTATAGTATTTCCTATTTAATATATTTATAATAGTTTTATATAGATCCATTCTATAATAATCAATTATAAGATCCCAACAACCATAAGAATATTTGTTAGGAATCCAATCTCTGAATATTTTTTTTTTTTTGTAATGCCTTTCAAGAAAAATCTATGCCTTCTGAACGGAAAAGACTCGGGAGCTCTCGCTTCTCACACAAGCTGTGCAATTCTGAAGTTTTTCTGAAGACTTTTCTTGTCTTGTACTTTTTCTTAATCTATTAATTAAAAAATAGTTCTAGCTTAACTAATATGTAACATGATAAATTAATACCGAGAAATTAATAATCTCAATTAAAGAATATTTTATTTGGTCTTTATTTAAATTTAAATTTTGAATTAAATTATATCTCAGTGAAATTATAAGGATGAAAGTGAGTAAAAATAAACAAAATTGACCGCATTTCCTTGAACACACACGTGGCCCTTCCTTGGATCCAAAACAAATACTCAACAAGATAAACCTGTTGAGCCCACGGGAGGGAAAGGCCCACCCTTACCATCCGCCGGTGGTTGATAAATTCCTGCCAAAATGTTTCTATAGTTAATTTATTTTGATATATTTTAAACTACATGTGGTGCTGAGTCCGTACAAACTGTTTTGTTTCTGACAAGAGGCAAATAATGATTTAACATACAGCAGATAACGTTTTTGCTTGAATGATAGAACACATTGTTTGTATTACAGTGAGAATGAGGAGACTTCCACCTGCAATATCAGAGACTACGGATTATTGACGAGCATCTCTGTTTCTATGCTGCCTTCAAGGACATTAACTTATTATGCCTACGCGTTCTACAATATGAATTCAGAGCTTCGCAGACGCCCCAAAGAAAACTATTTGTGGTGACAAGAAGTCATGACTGTAAAGAAGATTTGACACTACTTCGTCACTGTTTAGCATATTTTTTGAATTTCATTTACGAGCAAGTATTTCCACATCATTTGGGGCCCTGACGAGGCAGCTAATGAAAGTAATATAGTCATCTACGAAAGAATCCTCAATCCTACGATGGCATTCCTTAGAGGCCAGGAGATTTCTGAATGAGATTTCCGCGCCTTCATCCATCTGCAGTTGTGGGATTTCTAGAATCCCTTAACTGAATCTTATGTGAAATAGTAAGCTTTTTTCTGGATTCCTAAACTTCACTCCAGATTGATGGAGCTTTGTTGCAGTGGGTGCTCTTGAAAAGGCTGTTTCTTCCACTGGACGACGGCACAATGCCGGTGGCTGCTGACACCTTTTTAGGAAGTCAACGAAATGTAGGACTCCAGAGAAATTGATTGCTTTCCAAAAGTCCTCTTTACCCAGCCAGCCCATTGACTTCTTAGAAACCCACAGGCAAACTCAATAATGGTACAATTCTCAGCTACACTGGAAAAGCTCAAACAACTTCTCGAGGATGAAGAACGAAAGCTGATTTTCAAGCAATAGCATATCAACACCACGTTATGTACATAAATAGACGATAGAAAATCCGATCACTGCGTCCGTTTCTAAAAACAAAACTCCTGTACTTCAACTCCAGTAAGAGCATAATAATGAAGACAACATCCAGTAAGATCATTGTTGCGAAGTCTTTCCAACTAAAATTAATGGTTTCTTCATAACAATCACGTAATTCTGTTTCATTCTCCTTGATAATGTTAATTAAATTCTCGACACTTACCCTGCTCTTCCATATCTTTTAGATTTTCCTTACCATGGTGAATATTGGGGCCTATTGAGACTACTCGAGGTGTATATGCCTTTCTATGTAATTTCCGCGACCGTTCGGGGACTCAATGGATGCAGCATGCAGGGGAGGAAATCTTCATGTTTTTCAATAGCTCCTTCAAAGAATTGCTAACAAGTGAAACTTCATGGCTCTGATCCATTGTCTGGTGATCGGTACTTGATTTTCCACTAATTTCCATCCCGTGATAGAGCTGAGATAATCGCTGGTGTTCAGAACCAGCACGTATAATTAAATGCTATTGATAAAACAAACTGAAATACCATATTTAAGACACAGTCAAGAAAAACATATTCTGAAAAACAAATTTGAACTATATTCACAAACGCAAATACTTTTCATGGCTACTTGACCTCACTTAAACTATATTGGCTTCGAAAAGTCCCTTCTAATTTACAAGCCCGTAAAAAAAAAAAAAAAAAAAACCTATTTCACTGGTTTGCTGTTACTACATAGATTTTTCTTGTAACCAGATGCATTATAATATCCGGGCTCACTATTTAGTATCTTATTATTGTTAGAAAATTCTAAAAATCAAACACATATAAATTTACGTAATTCGGCAACTTACCTAATTCATGAAACTACTAGTTCATATTAATTAATTAAAGAAACAATACAAACAAATAAGAGAAGAAAACACTATTCTCTACTCAACTCACTCTCACTCAAGCTCTCTCTATCTTCTTTTCTCTCTACAGTACCATGCTTAGCTCTTCATTGAGTATATATATAGACCAAAATGGGAGCAAGAGCCATAAATCATACCATGATTTATACCACTATTTATGCCTTAAATTGAGCCTCCAACTTATGCTAAATGGGAGATGAGTTATTCCCACTAGCATATGGTTGAGGTAAGGCATTGTTTGTCTTCATTTTACTAACATTCTTCCACTCAGAGACAAACAACAAAATTATCTTTTATTCTTGAAGACCAACTGATTAGTACTTAAAAGTGTATTTTTTTCAAGGTTTTATATCATCATTTTGCATTTGAAGTATCAATAACTGCTTAACTAAAACATGTTTGATAATAACATATCTAATAATATAAGATGCCTTTAATTTATGATAAATATTTATTTTAAATACAGAGCTATCACATAAATGAAAGGATTGATTGATGAGTTTAAAAATTGAAATTGAAAGGACAAAGAAAAGACCAAACTTAGAAAAGAGATGTTGGTGCAGTTCAAACTGGAATACTGTTCGGTAATTGAGTCATATCTGGAGCTATAGATCTCGAATTTAGGTTTACTTTATATGGATAAAAAGGTAAGACATAAGTCTACAACTTTTATATAGAGCCCAAGATTTAAGAAAGACATTTTTAAGTCCAAATAGTAGCAACAACAAAGAAGTCTGAATCTGTCCTACAGCTCGCGCATTATTCAATGTTTGGACCATATCTATGGTTCTAGAAATCCAAATGACCTCCATTTTTTTTTTCTAGAAAGCAAAGACAAGTTCCTACAACTTTTATATTTTTAAGTAATTTCAATTTTGATATTATCAATGACGTTTTGGGCAGACAAGAGAAGATAAAGATTGTCACCAAGTCAAGAGTTGGCCACCCACTCATCAATTAGTCATCAAATCAATAGTTTCTAATTTTGGCCACTACTCTTCATAGTGGTAAGGTTATTGAAAAACCCACTCTTGAACCTTCTGAGAAAGATGATGAGTCAATTGTTGAGGGTAAGGAAGGGGTTGAATTTGAAAATTGCAAAGAAAAAATTGATTCCCTACCAGCACTTCTATTTCCTCATGTCATGAACAAATAAAGGAAAGTCAATCACAACTCTGAAATCTTTGAAACTTTCAAACAGGCAAGGATGAATATACATTTGCTAGATGCTATTAAACAGGTTCCTTCCTATGCTAAATTTTTGAAAGATCTATGCACTATGAAGAGGAAACTAAATATGAAAAAGAAAGCCTTTTTAGCTGAACAAGTAAGTGTCATTTTTAAGAACAATACTGCTTTGAAATATAAAGACCCTAGTTGTCTTACAATTGCTTGCTTTATTGGAGAACATGAAATTGACAATTTCTTGTTTTATTGGAGAGCATAAAATTGAAAGAGCCTTACTTGATCTTGGAGCTAGTGTGAATTTACTTCCATATTCAGTTTTTCAAAGTCTTAATCTGGGTGAGTTAAAACCAACTTTTGTAACTCTTTTACTTGCTGATAGATCTATAAAAATGCCTAGAGGAATAATTCAAGATATGTTAGTACAAGTTGATAAATTCATTAGGTTGTAGATTTTATTGTTTTGGACACACAACCTGTTGAAGCATGTAATTCATTTCCTGTTATTTTAGGACATCCATTTCTTGCAACTTCTAATGCATTGATTAATTTTAGGAATTGACTAATGATTAGTACTTAAAAGTGTATTTTTATCATGGTTTTATATCATCATTTTGCACTTGAAGTATCAATAACTCCTTAACTAAAATATGTTTTATAATAATGTATCTAATAATATAAGATACCTATAATTTGGGGTAAATGTCTATTTTTAATGCAGGTCTATCACATAAATGAAAGGATTGATTGATGACTTGAAGAACTTAAATTGCAAGGATAAAGAGATGGCCAAACTTAGAAAAGAGATGTCGGTGCAATCCAAACCGGAACACTGTTCGGTAATTGGGTCATATCTGAAGCTACAGATCTCAAATTTAGGTCCAATTTATATGGATGGAAAGGTAAGACATAGGCCTACAACTTTCATATGGAACCCAAGATCTAAAAAGGCCATTATCAAGTCCAAATTGTAGCAATAACAAAGAAGCCCGATTCTGTCTTCCAGCCCGAGCACTATTCGGTATTTTGGCCATATCTGGAGTTCTAGAAGTCCAAATGAGCTGAATGTTTTACAAAAGAAAGCTGACATAATTGCCTACAACTTTGATGTTTGCAACTGGCTCCAATTTTGACGTTATCAATGACGTTTTGGGCAGACAAGAGAAGATAAGGATTGTAACCAAGTCAAAAGTTGGCCACCCACTTATCAATTAGTCATCAAATCAATAGTTCCCAATTTGGGCCTATAAAAGGAGGCATTTGCCATGCATTTAGGCATCTTGGTTTCCAGATCAAGATCATGGTCTTCCTTTCTCTCTTTGTATTTTTTGTAATGTTTATGCTTTGCTTTCATTAATATGAAGTTTATGCCTTTCATTTCCTTTCCTTTACTTAGTTAACTTTTATGTTCTTATTTTGTTTATCTATTTTGTTTTCTTTCATTATGTCTAGCTAAGTTAGTTATGTCAAGGTGAAAAGGTTACACTAATGGTGTGAGAATAAGTATAATGTAAACTTAATATGGACTTTAATGTTTGATACTAACATGTTTTATATTTGTTATCTTATTCACTCTTTAATACTTTGCTTGTTAAATAACTAATCTTGATTTATGTTGTATAACACTTCGTACAACAAATGCTTGGCACTTTCATAGCCCATAATGTATGGTATAACCGACACCTGAGCTATGAAAGGAACTTGATTTGTTGTTAACATAACTTATAATCATGAATGCTTGACGAGATTTACAAGTATTAGCATTAATTGAATAAGATGACTAATGTAATCATGTTAACAATATATAATCTGATTGGAACCTCCTTTGTGTGTGGTTTCCAATTCAATAATAAGAGTTTATACTATACTTGTTTGATATACCATTAGTGGAACCTCTAACCTTGACATTTGTTATTATTATTGTTTAATCCTTACATTCATTTTCCACCTCCAAGTTCTCATCATCTTCTTCTTCTTCTCTTTCTTTATTATTATTATTATTATTACTACTACTACTATTATTATTATTATTACTACTACTACTACTATTATTACTACTACTACTACTACTACTACTGCTACTATTATTATTATTATTATTATTATTATTATTAGTATTATTATTAGTATTATTAGTATTATTATTATTATTATTGTTATTATTATTGTAGTTATTGTTATTGTTATTGTTGTTGTATTATTGTTATTTATAATTTGTATAAATAACCTCCTTGTGGTTCGACCCCGGTCTTGCCGGGTTATTTATTACTTCGACACTCCTGCACTTGGGAGAAGACATCAATCTTTTAGTCGTGTCATTTTTCTTCCTCATTTATGAGGTGTCTCCTTCATCTTTTTGACCCAAAATAATGTTAAAATATCCCCTCCAGCTTTCCATCCATGTGCTTGCCTTCTTGGATCAATGGATTGCCCAAAATAAATCAATTGTTATTTGTTGTGTGGACATGTAAGATCATGGATTGTGTTTGGGTTGATTTGAAGGTTGATTTGGGGTTGATTTAGGGCTGATTTGGGGCTGATTTGGGGCTGAATTTGAGCATCAAATAAGTATACAAATGTACTTATTATTTGGGCTAAGATTGACATTGAAACCTTGAGTGTTTAATGGTTGAAGTTTGCACACAACATAAGGCAAGTTTGGGCTTGAAATAAATCATATGATATTCTTTTCTAGAATTGGAATAGAATTGATTTTTGGGACAAATTTAGAGCACTTATTTGAACCAAGATTTGCTTCAATCTTCAACTAAATGTCTCTTCAATTCTTTGTTCTGAATTCCGACGTTGAATTTTCTGAATTAATTCATTTAAGCTCCAAAAACCTATCGAAACATTAAAACAAACTTCATTACTAAAAAACACATCAATTATTATAAAAACAACAAAATAAAAACAATAAATACATATGTAAAACAAGAGACTTAATGACACTTTTGATGCATAATCACACCCCCCAACTTAGATTTTGCTAGTCCTCAAGCAAAACAAAACATAAAACCTTTAAAATAAAAATAATAATAATAACAACCATAATTAGGCGCGATTCATCACACTTGAAGGACCTATCATGCAAACATTGGTATCTTTAACTTAGTGTACACAATAGCAAATAAAGAAAAATAAGCATACTCACATTCTCTAAATCAAACATCCATACAAAATTTCCAAATTCAGTCATATTTATCGTGCAACCAACATAATTGATTCATATGAAAACTCAACTTCTAATCTTCCCTTCTCACCAATACAAACAAGGTAGCAAACTAGAGAAATATCTATATATATATTTTTTTCTTTTTTCTTTTTTGAAGATATGATTTATTCTTTGTCTTTAAGTTGTCACTTCCCTTTTGATGCGAATACAAACATTTGTGATGAATGCACCCGGTTACTCACAAAGTCACAAACTTAAAGTGCTTTGCATACTC